ATACACGTTACACATGGCAAAACCATGAAAACGTCCATTCAGCCAGATCGTTCGTGGAAATCGAACCTCGGTCTTCAGCGATTTTACCGCTCGGCCGCTGGTGGGCCATTATAATCCTTTGAACCCTGATTTGCTTTTCATGATTATTCTTTCTAGCAGTTTCCATTTTTTAAATTTGTTACGCTGGCATCATGGAAACGTTATTGGAATTAAAATGAAATGAAAAAGGACAATCAAAATGATGAAAGTGAAATATGTAAAAAAATTAAAAGTCAAAATTGTGTATAATTTCTAATAAACAATTTTTGGCCGAATTGGGAAATTAAACTGCATTAAGTTGTAAACTGGATTCAAAATGCAATCTCGGTGAACTAACCCTTACATTGCAAGATCTCGCGGAAGGAATGAACTTAGTTCCTCCTTATTAGGAACTAACTTACCCTCATTATTAGGAACTAAGAATTTAAATGTATAAAAACTATATATTACTTGATAAATCAGGCGATTTAAAACTGTCCCGTTTCTTTTTCATAGTTATCTCAAACGAAATTTCATAGTTATCTCAAGCGAAAACATAAGTATTAAAACAAATTTTGAATAAAAAGACTAAATACGAATAGGAATATTTTTTTATTTCTAAAAGATATCTCTCCTTCTTGTACTTTAAAAACCAATCCAGTTCGATCATGATCACACATGCAACCATGATCGAACTGGTTGCATTCGTGTCCTTCCCATGTTTAAATTGAATACGAAACCAGCTTAATTAAAATGCTCAGTAAACTGATAATTCTATGTAGCTCCAAGACCATTTGATTTTCTTTTTTTTTTCAATACGCTAATTTACATAATTAAAATTAACATTTCAGTTACAGGTCCACCACCGGCCGAGCAGTAAAGTCGCTGAACACTTGTAGTTTGGGCTGAGGCTCGAATTCTAAGAATGGGCGAGCCGCATAGGCGTTTTCATGGTTTTCCCCATGCAGAACGTGTATACGAGCCAGTTTTCCTTAGAACGTCCTCCACGAAGGCATCGCTACCCTTAGGAAAATAGCGCTCGAGGCTTTGCCGTAATCACATAAACCAAACCATTTCACTTACAGTACATACAGCTGACACTTACGAATGTTTTCAGAATTATTTACTCTTGATTTACGAAACTGAAAAGTATAAAAAAGCTTTCGAGCTCTATTATGTTACCATCATTAACTAGTACTATTTGGATACTTAATGTTTAATGCATGCCTGTTATGTACATATGTTCGCACTTGGGATTTGCTTCCGCTCTGTAATGAATTTTTACCAACTGTACATTTTGAAGTGTTAAGATTTGCACTTCTTTTTCCCATGCCTTTTGCCGTTGATAACTGAAAACTGTTTAAAGAATATTTTAAATGCGAAAACTATTCTTATTTTTCACTCTAGAGCGCACAGCCGCTAATATGTTTGCTAATTCCCAAGTTTCTGCGAAAAGCATTTCGTTATTCATTTTAAGGCAGTTTAATCCTTCGCGCTCAAACTTTTTTTTTCGGCTTACTTTCTATCTAGTTTCTTTTCACTCATACATAATGAATAAGTACTTCAAAATCAAAATTGTACATAATTTCAACGTTAAAAATGCCTTAATGGAATCTTTTAAAACTTTTTGGTACATTGCATGATATTATGCTACAATACTTTACCCTTTACATGCTGAAGAGAACAAAAAATAGGCTTAAAAGTAATACAAATGAATTATTTAACATGAAAATAACATGACACTCATTATTAGGAACTAAGAAGTTCTTATACGTGCAAGAGTAAATTAATGCATCTAAAATAATATAGAAAAATTCTTGAAGACCAGTGCATGTCTGAAATGAGCAGACCATCTTACTTGAACCGCATTAAATCTCTAATCTTAAGGCACAAATTAAAAACTGATAGAAATTTTCTGTGATTGCACTCTAACTGAAGATTTCACAAGTAAGAACTTCAGAGCCTAAGTTAACAAGTAACGTTAGGCTGAACCCAAAAAAAGAATTTAAAGGCATTTCAAATTTTTATTGCCTTTTTGCACAACCTATTTGTGCGAGTGAGTATTTTCTTCCTCGTTTTATTTGAAAAAGAAATACGAAACAAAATTAAAATTGGATCTTAATTTACGGTTAAAGTTAAGTGAAATAAGACACATAAAGAAATTGATCTCTCTTAAACAGGCCCAAATTTCGGACTAAATTTTAGAATTAAAGTATTACGACTAAAGTTTTGATAATTAAAATGATAACCAATTTTTAATTTAATATATTTTTACGTGTGCAAGTATAATATAGCCAATTGGTTTTAATATTAATGTAGTGGGTGGTACTAAAGTTTTTCAATTTTTGTTTAGATGGTACACGTTAGTCAATAGGCTGAAAACCGGTACTTTAAGCGAAGTGATGACTTAAGGGCCTCCACTTAATCTGTGCTATGAATTAAATCAGCAATAAGCACATTTACTATCAAGTACAGTGTATACTTCTTGTTTTGCACTAAAATGAGTAAGTAATAGACATTTTTCACAATGAAGTGATTTCAATAATTTCTTACGTTGTGACCTAATTTTTCAGAGATTAAATTTCCATTAGTTTCAATTAATCTTTCATTTTATGATACTGTCTATTGATAAGCAAAATACGCCTTTTTCTCTTCAATCATTATTTTATACGTTTATTACTTGAATCTATTAGCTTGACGAATTTTCAAATTCTTAAAACTGCATTTTTACTGTAATATAGTTGTAGATGAATAGATTCCTATACATTTTTCAGAAAAAATTTTGGAATTAGACTGGAAGACCTCCCTCGCTAATCTCTATTTTTCACTTTACGTTACTTTGTACAGCATTCGCTTTCAAGCAAATTAGGTGCGTTCTGCCCTGTCAATATCAGATTCTTAGTGATGATAAATTTCCATATGTTCAAAAATCCAGTTTAAGCTTTATATTATTTAAAATGTTGAAGGATATAAAAAGTGTGATTATTTGATAATTAACGTAATTAACGTTAATTATTTAATCCAAATCATAGAACGTTATCATTAAGAAGACTTTGGAAATGGTATCATAAAATGTCACATTTAAACTTAATGTTCATTATGTTGTTTTGTTTTATCCCCCGCCTGAAATTTATAGAATAAAGTTACAGTAAATGCTGTTAATAACTGCTTAATTTAGCGAAATTTTTATTACAGATGCAATCGCTGAGAATGAAAAAAAGATACTATAGAAGGAAGAAATAAAATTTAACCTATCAGCCACTTTTCAGATTTCACTTGTTGATAACGAGCCCATCATTTGCAAAGCGAAGAAAATTAGTGAACACTAGAAGTTCTACTTGGATTCAAATTTCAGAAAACGAGTGACTGCATGGGTGTTGTTTTGCTCATGTATAACATAAGTGTGAGACAGTTTTCCTTAGAAAATTTTTCATGAAAGCATAAGCGTTAAGCAGATAGCCCTCGAGTATATTTCCATAGTTTACAAAACAAAACAAAAAACTATTGACAATTATTTATCAAATGTTAGATGAATGCGATGAAATGAAGCACACAGTAGGTTGGTAAAGAGGGAGAAATCTGTTTACTAGATTATCTTTTTGATATAGAAATTAAAATAGAATTCTGACTGAAAATTGGTATACGAGGGGGAACTCTTGAACGCTGTCTAAAAATTTTTAATTGAAACAGAAATATTCGAAATGAATTCAGACTTTAAAAAAGAGAGAAATTGCAAGATGAAAACTTCATATTAGATTCTAATACCATGAAGAAGTGTTTAATACTAAAAATTAAAATATAAAAAATATTAAACTAGATTTAGTAAACTTGCAGTCTGAAACTTTCAGCTGCAACTATTGCAGAAGAGTTTATACAAGTTTAAAAAATTCTTACATTTCTAGTACTCATAAAGATATTTCAATACTCTTCGTAAAAACGTAATATATCTAAGCTGCCAAAATCGTGAAACTGAATCTTTGCCGTTTATAAGATGAAATGGCTATTTATTACTGAACGTAAAATAATATAACTAAAAATATATTAAAATATTACACATATACGTTATTGTTTGAACAAATTAAAACTAGAAATCTGAAGTGAATATTGCAGTATATAAGTTACAAAAAAGTTTCATCCATCATCCTCATCATCACCATCATCGAGTTTTATACTAGATGCAGATGTTAGCATATCCAAGAACTACAGAGACAAATTTCGCACTCCGTCAATTAAAGCCTACTTCATTCATGACAATTATGTCATGAAATATGAAATGTAAATAGTGTTTATATAGATAAATTTTCAAGAAATCTAACGCTGCAATCCGTTATAAAACATCTTTCAATTATTCTTAAGGTATTTGTTCTAAAGTAAGTACGTAATTTTGCATTTCATTGCATTTCTGTGTGTCTACCTTAATATCTGGAGATTTAACGAATTTTATCATCCATTTCGGTTGATTGATTAATTCTGGTTTCAATATTACGTTAAATTTATCTCTTACGTATTTCAAATTATTATACAAATGTCTTAATTACATATATAAGCAACTCAAAGCAATTTGTCAAGATTTCCATAATTTTCTGTTGGTGTAATATTATTCTCTTATAACGACCATGATGCTAAGATCAGTATCACTGAAGTTAGAATGCCTGAAAACATAAAATAAACATCTGTATTGAAAATCACTTTTCAAAGATGACCGTCTTTACAGAAAATAAATTTAGAATTATAAATGATCGACTTACGGAGCGTGTACTTCAATTGAGAAAACAGTTTTTAACATCAGCCGCTTATAACGCCTTCCGATCAAATGTAGTTATTATAGCCGGTTATAAATGAATTAAAATTTAGAAGTATATCATCATCAGTACTTCATTCAAATAAAACATGTATCAGAATAAATAATATTAGATATGAATGCAAACAGTGTTAGTTATTTTAATAGCATACCGTGAAGTTTGAAACTAGAAGAAACTTACCTTATTGGTGAAAATTTTGACAAACGTCTCCAAGTTTGAAAACTAAAATTAATTTTTGATATGGATGTAACTGTTACGCCGAAACGTCGATTATTAAGTGAGGCTAAGCAGGATTGTTGGCGAATATATATATCTGCCGGGCCGATTTTTAGAATACGTTGGCTATTTTTCTTAGTTTCGGCGCCAACCACCTTTGCCACGACGTCACACTACTGTCGGCACCAATCGGAAGGCGGCATTTCCGGTGACCAATGGCATTCACCGGGGATCTAAATTTGATCGCTCCTCGAAGAAAAATCGACTTTTCGCTTAGGCCGTCGTCGGCAAGTATTTTTATTTTCTTACTTTTTACTTTCCGCCGTTTGGCAACTCGAATTTTCAGTTATATCCACAGGTTATTATTATTGATATTATTGTTCCCGTCTTGGAGGACCTTTCGGGCACTTTCAGTTTGTCCGCTGTGGAATATTGGATTTTTTCGTCTCTTTAAAACAAGGAAAACGATTGTCTGTGCGCTGATTTTCCTTCCTTTTCAAACAGCTTTCTTTTTTATTCAGGTGTTTTCTGTTTTAGCGATTTATTGTGTTAAAATTTTCTAAAGTTACAAAACTGTTTTCATTCGAATGGGAAAAAGTTATTCTTAATATGTTTTCTGGGATAGTCGCAGGGCAGCTTTTGTATTCCTTTGTTTCATGAAAGAAAATGTTCCCCGCAGTTTGTGAAGAACGTAATATCGTCTGCGAGCATTGGAATATGAGAAAAGGATCATCTAATTCAAATTTTTCAGTCCCTAAATCAGAGAAATCTCTCTAAGGAGACCATCCACGGTTTAACATGACTTTCATCATCTGTAAAAAAAAATGGTCATTTTAAAGATTTTTACATAATTAAAATTATGATTTAGTTACTGAGACAAATAGCAAAATATATTTAGAAAATTATACCTTGATTTTATACATATTCCAGGTAAATTATAGTTTTAAATACAGAAACCAAATTTGCAATATGACTTCGAAAAACCTAAGCGTTAAACAACTGTTAAATAATTTCTAAAATACTCACTTTTTTAAAAAAATATTTATCCGGTGAAGTTTGCCAACTGAAGTTTTTCATTTAATCATTTCTTATCCTAAAGCAATTTTGAACTTTAAATCAGATATATTCTTCTGATCTATTACCTTCCGAATTTCTGCAACGTCCTTTTCAGACAGGCCTTCAAAAGCCTCTTAATGGTATGTTTTAATTTAATTCTTTTATCTTTAGCCCAGAAGGGATATTAGTCTCGAAAAAGCCTTTTGCGTGAAATCATTAAAAGTGTTGAATCATTTTTCAGACTGCTGTCACCAAATATTATCTACTTCTGTCATATTTAAAGAAATTAAATAATGATGAATCTGCATGAATATGTTTCTCGCACTGTGAAAAACAGCGATACTTAAGAGTCATCAGATTTTGAATAACATAGTCCTCCTCTCGAATAGCCATGTGGAAGCCCAAATTCTGAATTTCGAATTTGTTTTATTATTTATTTCATTTTTTAAACCTTTAACGAATTTTTGATTAACAAACTCAACGTTTTCAAAAGCATCCGTGGAACATTATATGGAATAAAATATTTTTATCTACAGCTCGCGAGGCTGTCTACTGGAAATTCTAAAGATATGCTATTTTTAAGCATTTTTATCCCAATGAGCGTTAGCCCAAGGGCTCTCAAAACATGTATGTGTGAGCAGATGGAAAAAAACACCCCTTTGAGCATATTATAAATTCTGGAAACGTTTAGACTTTTTTTTCCACAGACAGTTCAGTTTCATGTTATTGACAGAATTAATCCGCAAGATTTGTTAAAATCACAAAGTAAAAACCATAAGCACATACGCTGATTTCGAAAAATGGGAGCACAACTTGTTCAGTAATGATTACTTCTGATTTTCATTAACCAGGGTTTCATTCTTATAGCAAGAACTGATAATGTATTTCCTTGATTTGTCCAGTACAATTTAATAGCTATTTCATCACCTTAGTACATTTTCACGATTTCCATTCAATTAAGGAGTAATTCTTTTTCATGAACATTCTTATTATTCTTAATATGCATGTTTATTTGTGTTCTCAGAAATTCTGAATATTTTTATATGTGGTCATCTTAGAGAGGTGCTCATCTTTACAGTGTTCATTGCAATTCAGTTGTTCTGGTCACTTATATTACTCCTCCCATTTTTAGAAAACTCTTGTTAGTACTGTGCTTATGATACCACTATGTATCATGTCACTTAATTCAGTTATTTAGACATTTTATCTGTCATGAAACAAAACATTAGCGGTACTCGTCTGTTATCGGGACTGTATTCAGGAATGTATATATGTATGCATGTAAGGATGGATGGATGTGTTTATATATGCATGTATATATCTACACTGCGAAAAAAAAAGAAAAGAAAGAAAAAATGGCACAGTTCTATATCTCTCGTTCTACTGGGCCGATTGACAAAATTAAAATTGCGTTTTCCATGCCTCGAAAGCGCGACTTAGGATCTGTATCATATTTATATATAGCAGTTGTTCTAAGAAAATATGACTTTTTCTGAAATAATATACCATTTTTTTATATTTCGATTATATGACTCAAATTATGCCTAGATATTAAATTTTATAATTCTGGTGGGAAATTTAAAAATTTATCTTGGCGCATTTCAGTTTGCGCCAAGTATAATTCACTTGGCAAACTTCTTAATTTATAGTAACCTATTTTCTGTTCCTTTTTTTATTGTCCACGAACGGAAAAAAGTCATCGCTCATACTTTCAAATAGTTTTAACAAGGTGCGTAAACCACATTTTCGTTATTATCGCTTATAATAAATACGCCATATTCAAAAAGGCGCCAAAAGGTAAATTCACGTGTATCTTAAGAAATTTTGAATAAAAAACTCTAATGTTTTGCATGTATGCTTAGAAATACATCTACTTTAAGATGATGGCAAAAGTTTTATAGGTTATATTCAAACTTTTTTTTCGAAAAATTTATAAAAATTATGTTAAAATACAAATTTAAAAAAATAAATCATAAATATAAATCATGAAAATTAGGCGACTTTTATTTGGAACGAACCTAAATTTTGAAATATGAAAGGAAGGATCAAATAAGTTTAATAAAAGAAGAGATATTAATAAATATATATATCAAATTCAATTAACACTGAGGAGCTAAAATTTTGAAAGCTACTTTTTTAAAAACTACTCGTACAAATTTTACAAAACTTGGCAATATGTCATAATCTGAGTCCTGAGATCGAAATATGAAAAAAATTGTCATTTCAATTCATAAAAAGTCCGATTTGAGGTCAAAATGCCTATATCAGAACAATGGTATATATAAATTTAATACATATCCTAAGTCGCGCTTTCGAGACATGAAAAACGCAACTTCAGTTTCGTCAATCAGTCCAGTAGAATAAGAGATATAGAACTGTCTTTTTTTTTTTTTGGCGCAGTGTACGTATGTATGTATGTGTGTATATACACGGCATATATACATACATACGTGCATACATACATTACTTAAACTGATCCCGATAACAAGAGTACCAAAGTAGCAATAAAAGTGAAGCTTCAAATATCATCATATTCCTATCCCATAGATAGGACATTTTAAGCTTACTCTTTTAATCTATTACTAATATTTTCTTAGGCAAAATCATACAGTTTCCAAATCCTATACAAATGTTTGTTTTTTTCAGTAAGATATCCGACAAAACATAATTGAAATCCCTATTCTTCCACCTTTCCTTGTGTTCTCTTAAGAATATCCTCAACAAGTACATTTTTAAGTCTTTCCCAAATAATTAAATGTTTCTTTCTGGGGCTTTTTTCTTTACTTGTATTTAAAGTTTACTAGTTTTGGGATATCATGCTATCTAGTGTTTCAGCATTTTGATTCAAATGTTAGTCATCAGATTACTTCTGATATAGGCTTGGTTTTGAAAATTATAAGGACTGAAGCTAGTTTCCTCTTGCTCACATGTAGATGTAGTAAGGAGAAATTATGTCAATTATCCTATTCTTTCAGTGTTCAGTGTTATGATTTGTGCTTATATGATTCTGTTTTAAAATTTTTGTATTAGAAATACGCAAATGCATTGTAATATTTTGGCCACTTACATTTGGCTATTCTAATATTTATAATGGAAATTTTAATTTATGTTTTACGCCAGTAAAAAAAAATAATCTTTTCTTGCAATGTTTCCATAAGGTCTCTAGTTTAACTTCTAAGGTAACCTTTGCATAACCAATTCTTAGAACTGCGCCATTCGAGCCGCTCAGATGGTATAGTGGTTAGGGGAGCCTACTTCGGTACCAAAGGGCCCAGTCTCGAATTCCGGAGAGGGCATGGATGTTTGTAAATGTATAGTGTCCGTGCGGCATAGAGGCACTCTAAATATTCGACAAGCCAAAAGTCCTCTCGAGAGGTTGATGACAAGGAAAGAGGGGTAGGAGATCCTATTATCCGTCCCTCTCGGGGTGCTCTCTATCAATACTGGAGGAGGAACTGAGCGAAGTCGTACTACACTATGCCATTCGGGAAAACGTAGGAATTTTACTTTACTTTTGAAATTTTATAAATGTGTAATTGCTTATTAAACACCTATTTAAAAGAAACAGACGTACTTGTTAAAAATTTAAGTCCTTATTTTTGATAATATATTTGATTGCAAAATTTTAAAATAATGTATTTTATTAACAGTGTGTCTAAATAATTTTGTGAGTATCTGTAGTCTTAGAATCTTCTGATATTTATGCATACAAGATAAAAAATATGAAAGCAAACTTCTAATTTTAATTGGCTGTAATTGGCTGTCTTTTATTTTCTATTTAATTTGAGGACTTCCTCTCTCTGTCTTAAAAATAGCGCTATAAGTCTAAACTGCGTCATTTAAATTAATCATGCAACCCTATGTAACGCTCAATGCAGATACCTCCTTTTACCCAATCAAATAATTATAAACCAAAGCATTTTAACTCAAAACTGAACTTTTTGACTTCTTCCCTTCTTCTTCTGAATTGCTACGTCCTTTTTCGCTTACGCTTCCCTCCTGGCAAGATACTCAACCAAGCTGCTGCTTACTGCCTAAGATGGCGCTGTACTTTAAAAC